TATATAAATATATATATATATATATGTATATATGTAAGTTGGAACCATTTAGAAAAGAGAAAAAACAAGATAAAGTTTTTTTTAAAAAAAAACGCATCTATTGGAATATTTTTAGTGGACAATATATTGAATTACGTTCACGCTGAATACATACCCAATAGTTCGAAGGTAAGCTTCAAATCATGTTTCGAAATAAATCCGTCCTTATCTTGATCAATAAGTTGAAATGCCTGCAAATATACGTTTAATAATTACTTTGTAGATGTATTTAAATATTTTATGATAAAATATAAATAAGCTACAAAAACACTGCATTGAAAAACTTTTAAAAGAAGGAAGTCCAATTTTAAAATAGCAAATCTACTAATTAGTAGTTAATTCATTAGTAAATCAGCTTTTAGAAACACTTGATAGTTTAGCATTATTAACATATTTATTTGCGGAAGGCACAAAAACATACCTTCAGGCGGTGAGGGGGGGAATAATTATATAAAAAAAAGCGATAAGACATTTACTTTTAAATTAAATTGGCAGTTAAAATTTTAAGAAATGCATAATTTTCAACAAAAACAAGCAAAAAAAGAATATTCCCACAACAACTCGTTGTGGGCCGGGGGTCATAGAGGTTAAGACTCCACAATTTCAAGACCAACGGCATGTTTGTGGCAATGTGGTCAACACTGAGCACAGGCATCACCTCCTACATCAGAAAGTTTTCTCGTGGGTTTTTTATGTGTAGTATGTGCAGACTATTTAGAAAGTGAACCAGTTTCGCACATGAACCCAAATTCTACTTTAAAAATACTCATATGTGGTAGTTATCTTAGCATCAGCCCCACGAGGGGTTCTAATTCGTCTGAGTGATTTTTAATGTACTTGAGAGAAATTTATCATATATATTTGAGAATTGAATCTGTAGTGGTTGACTAGTAAATAAGACAAACCAATCATATTCATAAATTTTTAGGCATATATTTGCTACCATTTTCTTATTTTTACTAGATTCTGCATTAAATGACTCTTTCGCAAAACTGATTTATTTTCTTAGGGGTATATACTATATAACTCTTTATAACTGCTTGACTCTTTATAATTGAATGCACAATATAACTCCACTTCACTTGAACGGGACCAAACTTGAACGCATTTGCATGCGTTAGCCACTTTTAAGTACTCAGACTTCATTCTTGTCTTATTAAATTTGACTTAAAATTATTTTTACTATCGTTAACGTTTATGCAATTTTAACGGACATATTGAAGATCCACTACACATCGTTACGTTCTTCGAAAATTGGGCTAAACGCAAATGAAAAATCTACTTATAATATCAATTCATATTTCATTTTCTTGCTTTAAATTGTAACTGGGAAAGTCAAGCTTACCAGTCATGGACCTTTCGTTAGGCAAGAGAATACCTCAACAGTGAAAGTATCTCCTAGCTTAGGACCACCGATTGCTGAAGGGCAAAAATTATTTGAGAGGCACGTCTACAATTTAGACGTAGATCTGGCCGGGATAGCCTGGTTAGTAGGGTATTGAGCCAATGACTAAGAAGTCGTGAGTTCAACCCCTACCGGACGAAGACAAAACTGATGATTGATGCACGCTAAATCTAGCGGGGTTACAAAGTCCTCCAAGTTTCCATGACAAATCAAAACCTCTGGGGGTACTGGGTGGAAGATTGATCGCGCTCTGGGTCATGAGAAAATTACAGTCTATGAATCATTTTTTGTGAGAATGTGTCCTCCCTGTAAAAAGGGCTGTGACGTCTGTGTGGGACAGAAGTCAAATTCTTGACCATAGATGACGCCATTGGCATAAGACAACAACAACAACAGACGTAGATCTGAAGGGGACGGAAATTTTCTTCTGATTCATGTACCCATGATGACTGGCTATAGGAGTTTTGATTCCACAGATTTTGGGAACACGCATAATGCATGTATTTGTTTGGTCTAAAAGACTACGAAGCGATTGAATCCCGGTTCCTCCGAGGCGATATCCAGTGCTCTAACCACAGAAGTTTTAAGTGCCACTATTGAGTTCATTACTACTTCTAAGTAAAAGCTTCTTTTAAGAGCTTAAAAGTTGGCAGGTATAGCTTAAATGTGTTGATGTTTCATCTTAAATATTATTTCTTAATAATTTTAATTCCTTATCCAGTAATATCACATTTATATTAAATCCTTAATCCCTATTAAAATATTTAACTACTAAACGTTAACTACTAAAATATTAACTATTTAACTACTAAACATTAAAATATTTTTTATAATGATTAATTTTCGTAACAATTTAAAAGTAGCATTTAATAATAAAAAACTTTTTAAAAAATTTTGAAGGTTGAATGAATATAAATGATTAAGTGAGGCTTTTAACTTGTTTTCCATCCCATAAAAATTCCAAAAAAATAATAATAAATAAGTCTAAAGAGTAGATCTTAATCGCATGAAAAAGTGAAAAATGCTTTTCAGACATCTTTTAAAAATAAAAAAAAATTATTCCAGGAAGATACCTCTTTGAATTCTTGCACCTTCCTTTGCGTAAACATCGCAAAAATATTCGAACCACATCTTTGAGCTTTTCTTTTTGTGGATGCTTTTTTTTCTGGTACTGGAACTGGAACTTGAATCTCTGGAGGAGGAGGTTCTTGTGGTGCTTCTTCCTCTTGAACTACGTTTTCTCCTTCTTGAGTAGCATCAGCATCTTGAGTCTTCTTTTTGCTCTTCTTCTTCTTTTCCTTTTTTTCTTCGTCACCCTAATGATTAATGTGAAAGTATAAACAAACTTTTAAAAAAAATGAAAGCGTAAACATTTGATCTATGATTCATTTTTTATATATATGCATATATAAACAGAATTCTTTTTTGAATCTGATTTTTTTTCTTTCTTTTAATATCAAATCGGATCGGAGATATTCAAATCGTCTTTTTTTCATAAGTTGCCAAATAAGATTCACTACAAAATTATAATGAAAAAAAAAATTTTTCCTCCCATACGCACCATAAAAGAATTACTTTAATTATTTATATATTACACAGTTTTCAGCAATTTTTTTTGCAAATTTTGAAGCAAAATTTTAGTAATTTATTTTAAATTACTAAAAAAAAATTTTTCATTTTATTGAATATTCTTAAAATTATTGCAAATAAGAGTAAGACAAAAAAAATAGGTTTTTATAAAAATGTTTATGTCCCCACAAATATTTAAGTAAGGCTTACAAAATTTTTTGCATTATTGCACATAATGACCAAAATTATTGTTACAAGTTATAAATTTATTACTACATATTTTGGCATAGGGTGTTCAAAAACACTATTTCCCATTTGTAATTTATTGTTGGTCCCTCAAACCTCTAAAAGTCTTGAACTTCATTGATATGTATGAGAAATCGCATGATCTGGAGTTATAAAATTATTCTTTAAGTATATCTTGAGAAATATTTAAGAAAAAAACATTTTAGTAATAGAAGTGTTTCAAGTGTTCAAGTGTTGTAAAATAGTAATTTACATTTTCACTTTTTCTATTTAACACAGTACCTTATAGCTACAGAGAATAAATAAGGTATACTTATTTATACCTCACTTATTTCAACTGAGCCAGCTTTTTAAGTAAGATATTAGTATAAATGTATGCCTTTAGCAAGTATTGCTGCATACTAAGATATCTCAATTTCTTTAATTTTTTTTTTCCTTTTTATCCTAAATCATGATGAACTTATCACATGAATTGATAATTCAATAAGGAAATGTAAAAGACCCCATCGGGATTTAAAAGCCTATCTCAGACTATGACTACGATATTGCTTCAATAATTAATATGAACTTTGCAACTCCTAGAAAAATATTTTCCCCAAAACAGAAAAATGGTTGCATCCGTACATTTTTATGAGTTACGATAAATTAAAACAAAGAAAAAAAATAGTGCTCGGTGCCTTTTTAAAGCCTAAGTTTTAATTAACGGAACCGCCAACTTTCAGTGCCTTTGGGGGAAATTTCTTAAACTAAGCTTATGTTTTAATGTATGATTTTTTATTTTGTAAATTTGATTTTAATTAATTTCTCACACCATTATATGTAAATGGTTCAAAATATTCTTGTGAAAGCGCTACTGTGTTCCTGTTGACACATGCAAAATTAACACTTGTTCAGAAAGTTTTAATTTTCAATTGTCTACCACTCTTTAAAATATTTTGTCAAATGTCTAGCAGTTGACAGTCGTTAAGACATTTTTTTTTTTTAATTTGAAAATTGTGGTCGAGCATTAACAATTACAGCCTACAGTCATATTTATACAGCCTCCATAACATTACACAGTCTCCTCCCGTTATTGAGGAACAAGTTTTGAAGGAAATTAAAAAAAAATTCATCGCATGTAGCATAGAAGAATCAAATAAGAGCATTATAAATTGCAATACAACTTAACTCTGTGTTATATTTAAAGCTTTTCGATGTCATGAAAAAATTGTTTTTTTTTTTTAATAGATTAAGAAAAACTACAAAAATTCATTTAGAAAACAGCTGCTATTATGATCTTTTCACAGCAGTATTTAATTTATTCATTATTTTTCGAAAAAGTAGAGAAAGCACCACAGTAATTCCATAATTAGCATTTTCAATAGAGTCTCGTTAACGTGAATTTCTTTTAACGTGAACTAATTTCCAATTCCAGGTCAAATTGTAAACGGATATAATACTTGCATACTGATATAATATTTTTAAATATTTTTAACGTGAATGATCTTTTAAAATGAACTCGAATTTCCTTATCCTTGGAAAAAATTCTATTTTTAAAATGAACGGAGCATTTATTTTCCTTCTGATAGGTCAGAAAACTGATCATTCAATTCATTTGAATGCTTTGTTATAGTGTTGATAAGGATATTAATTAAACCACCCCATCCTATAAAGGGTATACGGAAAAAATAAGACTTGTCACCACAACAGATCCCCCCCCCAAAAAAAAAGATGCAGATTCGTCACCGACAATGCTGTCGAGAGGGCCGGTGAAGCCCCCCTCCCCTGGGACATTAATTTAAAATTCAATAAAATACAAAGAAGCATACAGGTGACCGGCGACAGTAAACAGCTCGAAATTTAAAAAATTAAAATCAAAATAAAATATCGTTATAATTGTCAAAGCAGGGGGCAATCCTGACTGCAAGGGGACTCTAACCCATGATCTGTCTACCACTGAGAATATTTTACGTCAGCGCTGCTTGGCGCAAGCACGAGACGGAAATCGTATCGACCAGTCATCGCTGGTATTCGAACCCAGTTCACCTCCTTGAAAGGCGAACGTTCTTTCCCCTAAGCCATCACAGCTCACTCCTTATAGTTAGTTACTTTTAAATATTTTTTTATTTACTTCTACAGAATTATAAAAATATTTTTAAAAATTTTTAAAAAAAATAGAGCACTAAAAGTAAGTACACGTTTTGAATTTCTCCAGGAGTATAATTTTTTCCCCTCCTTTATAAATTTACTTTATTTTTGAATATAATTTGTTGCATTTATTATAAGATGCATAGAAGTTTTTAATTTAACATGAAGCGCAAAATAAAAACATTTACCGAGAAGAAATATATATTAATTTACATTTCATATTCATAATAGAAATTTAAGATAAGAAAATACAAATAGATAACAGAAACAGATAATAGAAAATGTCTGTAGGTACGATTTTTATCAAAAGAATTCTTGTACTGATAGCGCGAACTATTTTTATGACGAACAAATTTCAAAATCTAAGTCAAACTTTTTTCAAATTCGAGTCGTCCACAAATAATGTCACGTAATTTTTAAATATATTTTTGAGCCTCCTCTCTCCGTTGTCACACTTCATCATACCCTCTTTCTCCCTCTTGTCACATGTCATAATATATTTTACTCTGTCTAACATAAACTCTCAGTTCAGAATCCCCACACCTGAATTAGATAAGATTGAGTACTTTTTATACCGGCGTTGAACAGCCGACCCAATTCTAAGTTTGCTACTATCAGTGCTCAACTTCATAGCCTTTTAATTTAAACATAACCCGGAAGACAAGGAAACTCCTTTATCGAGCATTGAGACAAACTAGCCTTCATGGAGGACTTTTAGATTGAACTAATCCCCCGTCACGTTACATGGAAAAGAAAACCACAAAACCTCTCACTGTTAACTCGACGGTAAGGGGATTCCAACCCATGATATTTCATGTCAGCATGGTGGTCGGTGCGAGCCAGGAGCAAAATCCATATCAACCAGAAACCACTGGGATTCGTAACTGCAGCCTCCTTATTGGGAGGCGAACGCTCTATCCCTGGTGTGATCTCCTCTATATTATCAACTAGTACTAGTATAAATGCAACGAGAACTCCCCAAGGAAATTTAATAACATTTTTTTCACTTTAGGAACATAAAATAGTGCTTTAAATTGCCATCAGTGAATAAGGGACTGAAAAAATTAATTTTTAGTTAAACACTCAAATTTAATTTCAGTAAAAGTTCATTGATAGTAAGAACTTCAGAAAACCTCCTAACTTCCCTTTTTTAGTGGTAACAAAACTTAAACCTGAATATTTTGCATAGCAGCTAACTTACACGGAAGAGGTTTTAGGAAGTTTTTAGCAAGCATAATAAAAGCTAAGATATTGAGCGTTTTCCTTGAGAGACAGTTTCAATGAAAGAATTGTCAAAAATAATGAAATTTATCCACTCATAATTACTGATAAGGATACAGCGCATATTTACTGATAGGGATAAAAATACACATATACAATAGTAATACATGCACAATCGCTTTATAATTCCAATCATTTGCGTGTGTTGCATAACTTTATATTCCCTGTAAGTTAGATTCAATTTGCATAATTCCTTCATGATGATGTAATTTTCACTAACATAAAAGTATATATATGTACTTCTACTTTTTACATCATTGCAAGATTTGTGTTTGGGCATTAATAGTAAATTGTTTAATAAAATAGGAGGATGACATACTAGAAGTAAAGTAACTCTCAGGAAACAATATTATGGAAGTGTGTGTTGTGAAAATGTCACCTCTTGAAAAATTGAGCTCTATCACATATCGCCCTTCAATATCTTATCCTTTATTGTTCTTCGACAATTTAACAATATTTCATATCTGTCAGTGCTTACTTTTTCCGAGAATGATTTTTATTAAATTAACGATTAAATTACAATTGCAGGCTAGAAAAAAAAAATTTTTTTTTGAATTATATATTTTGTGCGTGCCTTTAAAAATTTAAAACATAGTAGTAACGTTAAGACAAAAAATTTCGTTTTATAGTATTCGTAACAACAAAATTATTTCATCATTTCTAAACGAGAAATCCTGTTTTTCTAACAAATTTCTACTCGAGTTTACTTCCACTAGAAAAACGTGTTTCGCCGAAAAAGTATTGTGCTTAAAAAACTATTACTACTAAAAAACATAGTAGTAATGCTAAGACAAAAAATTTTGTTTTATAGAATTCGTAACAACAAAAATATTTTATCACTTCCAAACTAGAAATCCTGTTTTTCTAACAAATTTCTACTCGAGTTTACTTCCACTAGAAAAAAGTATTTCGTCAAAACCACAATTTTTGAAGAGTATGAATTTTCCTAATTTAAAGTTATTACTTAAAAATTAATACGAAAAATCCTTACTGTATTAATAACATGGAACAATTTTAAAATCACTATCAATAATAGAATAATACTTACCATAATAGAGAGCTAGAAAGATAGGAGCACACACTAAATTAAATTTAATCCAAATGCATAAAGTAGAAATGGCAGCTACCGTTTGAAACCTTAAATAGATATTCCCTCATTAATTGGGACGTTTTTTTTTTAATGTAACTTCCGTTTCGTGTAAACTCACCTAAATTTGGAAACCTGTGGGCTGAGGCTTCAAATGACAACTACAGAAATTAAAAATAAAAATCTTATTTTGTTTACATTATACCACAAATAAGCGCTCAGTAAGAGAAGGGCGAGCACCTTTTTTTCTTAATTAATGAAGATCTCTGAGTTAAATTCTCAGGTAAAAGAGCCAAATATTTTTATCATAAAAATAAGTCTTTTAAAATTACTTCTGTCGGTGAAAGTTGAGACTTCACGTGAATGAAAAAGCTTGTTTCAAAAATAATTAAATTTCATTAAAAAAAAAAGTCTTTTGAATGATAAAATTATGCATTATCTACACTACCAGAATTTTCTTTCTCTAGTTTGTCTACCATATTACGTTTTAGGACCATCAAATGAATGCCTAAGTGATCTCATAGTTATTTTTATGGATATTTGATATTATGTAGAAAAAATAATAATTTTTATTCTAATTTTGTTAAAGATGAGACACTGGACTACTGATCGATGCTATCTTCAGAGTTTAATCAGTGCATTGTTGGATAAATTCGATACTTTTGAAAGTGAAAATTCCCTTCATAGTAAATCCTGTTCTTTGTTACATGCTATAGTGATATAAATTTTAACTGAAACATTAATTCAACCATAAGTTAGAGTTTTTAGTGATCTGTCACGTATTTTATCTTATGTTATTCGTTAATTTTATTTTATGGATATTAGTTAATAAAGAAAATTCAACTGAGACATTAACAGTTGCCAAACTTCCATCAAACTCTTATAATAAATCTCAACGAGCAATTATAATGCCTTCTGATGATGTATCTGCTGTGACAAAACAAATAATTGCCAAAAAAGTTACTTCACCATCCAGATTAACTGTACCTACGTTGAGCAATTGTAATAAAAAGCTCCAAATATCAGCGAAAATCCCGGTCATGAACTCAGTGTTGAAAGCTCAAGTTTTACTTCACTAGCTGTTAGCTTAAAATCTTCAAGCAATAGTTATCTTTCTTATTATGATAAATGTAATATAACTCATTTAGAATGTGATGGTAGCGCATCAGATATCTGTGATAATGCTTTGATAAAATGGTCTAAAAGTGCTGATTACATACGACAGATGCCACAATTTAAAGCTCTGAATGAAAAAGATTATGACATAAAGTTGCAAAAAGGAAATAATAAAAAGTTTGTTGTTGTCAAATCTGATTCAAATTCCAACTGTAGTATAGAACAAGAAGAAGCTGTGGAATTAGGAGTTCCTACTTTATTTACTGATTATATAAAATTATGCATAATCTATACTATAAAAATATTTCTTGTTTTTAATGATAGATTATTAAATTTTCTTAATCATTAAAGTGAAACTTATCCGATCATTAGATCAAAAGTTACTCAGGGTAGTCAGTTTTTTATTTTGCTCCCAGAGATGCCAACTGCTCCGGAGACGCCGAAATAATGAAAAAAACGGTAAATAACTACTAATTAAATTTTGCAAACATTTGACTTATTTTTGCTTGCTTTGTAAAAGGTATTGCATGACATTACTACTATAAAGTGGGGAATTATATAAGCCTACGAATTATTTAGAAAATCTACTAAATTAAAGTTATTAAACTAAGAATCACAAATGATAAACTACCACTTTAAAATATTTATTTTCTGTCCGGAGCAAGTTGGCATGTCTGTGCTCATTGTTCAAAATACAGTGAAACCTATCTGGAGCGACCATTTTCTGTTACACAGTAAAATGGTCGTTAATGCTGGTTGGTCGTTCTGAAGGGGTTACCTCCATTGACTTTAAAATATTATCGAAGGTACGTGATTTTTCACCAACGACTTTAATTTTAGTCAGTGTCATTTTCTTGCTGTGGAAATGAAACTTGTTTTGGCGTCATGAAAACCGAATCGATAAATAAAACTTAGCTTCCATCAAAATGCTCCCAACTGAAATAATTATGAGTAAAAACAAATTTGTCAATTATGAATGACAGGATTATTTTAAAGAAATAAGCAATTATGTTTTTTGTTTAAGTTTGAATTTAATTTTACATTGTAAAAATTAGTTAGTCTTAAGAAATGAGAAAAGGTTTGTTTTTTTGAGATGCTTAGTTTTTTTTTCTAAAATAACTTTTTTTTTTCTCATTTAACTTTCTACTCTAAAACAAAATCAATGATAGCATCCCTTTTAGTGCACTTTAGCTGCAACATGAGATTGTCGCTAATCTTTGTAGATGTGTCTTTTTGCAGATCTCTTTCAGAGATCATCAAAAAGAACACTCTAAATAAGAACTACTCATTTTGAATACATTGAAATCAGCTTGTTTTGTTAATATTTTTTGTTTTGATATTTCTTGCGTGTTTCCTTACTTGACCTTTTCCACATTTGGCACAGAGGTGAGCCTGGTTGCTGGAAGAGATTTTGGTGGTATCTCCTTAAAGTTTTCTTCAACATCAAGTCTATTGAAAAAATTCCGTTCCTCCCAATAGTAGTCGCAAATAGAGTAGGTCGCTAAAACAGAGGTGGGTTTTTCTTGGAGGTTCCACTGTAAATTTAATTTAAAATAAATTTTACCACCAATATATATGAACAAATTAAGCAGATATATTAAGGCTTGACTTCAAGCTGCGCTGTATTTATTACATGCAAAATAATTTCTGTCTGTAATTGTAATTTGTCATTTCATTGCCTCTCAGGAAAAGCATTTTCAACACGCACAAAAGTTGGCCGGTACAGAGGCTAGACATAATAATAGATACATCTCTATACTTACTTATTTCGCATATTTCTCAAGAAATACTTAGAGAATTAATCTAAAACTTCAAAAGTGTTTAAGTCTTGTGCTTTCTCATGCATATTAATAAAGTTTAAGGTTTTTAAAGATTTAAAGGACCCGCAATAATTTGCAAACGAAAAAGAATGTTTTTGAACACCCTATGCCAAAAATACAACAATGAATTTATAATTCATGTCAATTACGTTGATTATCATGTGAAATAACTAAACATGATTTCGTAAACCTAGCTTAAGTACTTATGGAGATACGGACATTTTTACAAATAACTAATTTATTTATTTTTTTTACTTAGACTTTAATACTATCTGCAGAAATACTCAATCAAATTAAACAAAATTTTCAGATAAATTTTTAATTTATTATACTTGTTAATTAATTAGGTTATTATTACCTTAAAAATTATAATTAATTATGTTTGAAATTTTTAATTAATATACTTAAAACTTGAAAATTTCGTTAAAAATTGTGTGAGATATGAGTATTTAAAGTAATCCTTTCATACAGCGAAAACATTTAAAATTTCTTTTTCATAATTTTATTTAGAATAGTATTTGGGGACTTCTAAAAAATGTCCGATAATAAAGTACAAAACTACTTTGAAGTTCGCTAAAATCTTTTTACTTTTTCAAGATATTCAAATCGGACTTTTTTCGTAAGTTACAAAATACGATTCTAAATGTAATTATGAAGAAAAAAAAAATTTAAATGTTTTCCGCGTATGCATAGTTAGAAATGATGTATGAATATATGAATGGTATTATTCCATTGGTATAGTATGAATATTACTTCAAATACTCATATCTTGAGCAATTTTTTCCGAATTTTTTTCAAATTTTAAAATTATAATTTTATTATTAATTAAAAATTACTTAAAAATTATGTTTCATTTCATTGAATATTTCTGTAGTTATAGTAAGAAAACTTAAGTCAAAAAATTATGTTCTTATAAAAATGTCCATAACTCCAAGAATATTTGAACTAGGTTTACGAAGTTGTGTGCAATCATATCATATAATAACTAACGTAATTTAATTGCATTATATGCCTATCTTCGCTTCATTTTTTGGCGTAGGGTGTTCAAAAATATTCTTTTTTATTCGTAATTTATTACCGATCCCTCAAACCTCTAAAAGCTTCAAATTTTATTGTTTATGTAAGTGAAATCGCCTGATTTAACCACTTCTAAAGTTTTAAAATAATACTCTTAACATTCTTTGAGAAATATGAAAAAATGTGTTAATATAAAAGTGCTTACATCATTTTGTTCAAGTCCCTGTATGTTAAAGTAATAAATTAAAAAAAAAGCATGGCAAGCTTTCCCCTTTTTTATGTAGTGATATTAACTTTTTTAAATTCGTTTAAAGCTCACGTTAGTTAAGGCTTAAGATTTATAAAGGCATTTGTTAAGACTAACCCTATTGGAAAAAATCGAAAAACCAGTATCAAAAACCAGTAAAAATTATGCCAGGATCATACCGGACCATAGTATGACCATACCGGAAATTAAAAACCTGGTATGGCACCACACTGGAAATTTTAAAACCAGTATAGCACCATACTGGAAATTTTAAAAGCAGTATAACACCATACGGGAGATTTTAAAACCAGTATAGCCCCATACTGGGAAGTTTGAAACCAGTATGGCACTATACTAGAAATTTAAAACCAGTATGGATCATACTGGAATACCAGATTTAAAATCGAACTGGAAATTTTGATACCAGTTTTCAAACATACTGGGAATTTTAAAGTAGCTTTAAAGTATACCTTCATTCATAGTAAGTACATATTTTTCTGGAAATCTAACAGTATTGACATTTTATTCTATACTAATTTTAAATAATTAATTTCTTAGATTTTTATAAGAATTCTTAACGCAAAAATCAAGGGAAAGTTACACTTTCTATGTACATAATTAAAAAAATACATATTTGAAATTATTAAAATCATTTTATAATTTTGGAGGGAAGGACGTTTTTGAGTAAGATTTTTACACATTTTAATTACTTTAAAATCTGCTTAAAGTCATTTAAATGAAAGTAGTTTTATAATAAAAGTAATTGAATAATAAATTGTGTTTTTATTCGCTTATTATTTATTTACTTATTTATTTTTTGATTTACAAAATTTATTTTTATCAAAGTCATGATGACAAAAGAATATTATTAATTGTATCACTTAAAATTTTATTATAAATTGTTTTTATTTATTTATT